GACAATAGGAGAGACACAACAACATGGCCTGCAACTTTCTTACATCCATGTTTGAGAGCTGAAAAAATAATGTTCGTGTTTCTTACAGAAAAAATCTTTACATCCTAGATTCATCTGATGAGCAGTGGTCGGGAAATAAATGTGCCATCATTGTTCTGAAGGACCGAACAGTGACAAGATGATGAAACCAAGAAGCACAAAGAAATAACAGAAATATAATATTTCACAAAACACAGGCTAAAATACACAAATATAATGTAAAGTACAGCAATAAACCAAAATAACACAATGTCATATCATTTCTGTTTTCTTATTTTGTGTTTTTTTACAATGTTAATCATTGAAACATCAACATTTTGTATTTTTTGTGTTTCTTATGAGTAAAATTGTGAGGTCTTACCCCATGTGCTTTTAAATCTTCTCTTTATAATTAATGTTTCTTTAATTTTTGCATTTACTTTAACTTTCCTATCAAAATTGTTTTCCAATGCCATGTTTTGTTGAGCTTTCAGTGATTTGTGTAGTCCATTTTGTCATCTGTATTTCTGTTTTAGTTTGTAAAATGCTGAGTTTTCAGATTTTTTTTTATCCTATTTTTTTCTGAACTGCTGTTTTTGCCACAGCTGTAATGGGTAAAATTCWAAAAATGTAAATAACAAATCTCCAAATTGGAATATTTGAGTTTGTGAGGTGAAGATTGTGAGCATAAATAGTATACTATCTAAGGATTTAGCCAATTGAATTCAGATTTCAGTGTTTTTAGATACCTTTCTAATTCTAACATGTCACAACAGCCTCATATTTATAGACGGCTGGGTTGACTAAGCACTGTTCAGCTTGTCTCGTGTTTAATCATCTGGACACCCTCCTGACATATGCCCCTCTGAGTAAACAGACCTCCTCCTGTAACGATAAGCCCCCGCACCCATAACTTCCCTCCTCTCTCTTCTTGCATAATAATGTCGTGTCTGCTTGTTGCAGCTGCAGCATCCCAGTGACCCAGATATAATGGGACTTTATGGTTCTGCGCCGCTTTGGCTGTCTGCTCCTCCAGCCTGCAGTGCTCCATCTCCACCACCAGCATCACACTGCCTGCCTCGCTCTCTCTCTCTCTGCCATCACTGCATGACCCACATCCCCATGGTAACCAGTCCAAAATGGCTGCGCGGAAGAGGCATGTCGGCTGGTGAGGACTTCGTTGACCGTGACCTCTGGTTGTGGAGGTGCAGGGGGGACGGGGAACTGTAGACGGCACAGCAACACAAACACACACACACACACACACACACACACACACACACACAC